TCTGATGATCATCTTAAATATGTCATACCAGCTGTGATATGTCTGGCATTTATCATCCTGCCTCCTCCTATTATTCTACTATCAGAGCCTTTCCTAGTAAGAATCAATGGTGCATTAAACATTAGAAGGAATGCTGTTACTTATACTCTCCACAAGTTAAGGATGAAACTGAAGCCATTCTTAGATTCATTCCAGGGGTGCTTTAAGGACAACTACAGATGTTTTGCTGGTCTCTTTTTCCTCTATCGCATATTAATTGTTCTCACTCCAATATATTTTCCAGAGGGTACATTTTGGAACATTACAATGAAAGAAACACTTCTGTTTCTCATTTTACTCCTACACTGCTTATGTGCACCCTTTCAACAAAAATCATTCAATCACATCACTTCATTTCTACTTATTGATCTCCTTCTGATCAACATGCTGCAGTTAGCACTAGTGAGGGAGTGGTATGACAGCACTATCATGGCTACCACAGTATTGCAGTTTGTGTTGATGTCACTACCACTGGTTTACCTACTAGGCTATATTGGGTTGTACTGCAAGAAGTATTTTGTGCAGAATAAATCGGAATCAGTTGATGAGTGTGATGAACTCCCTGCACGATTGATCCCAGGATCAATGGAGTCTTACAATACATTTTAGCAAGAGTGACAACTGACAAGTAGTTATATTTTAGTTAGTGTTTTAGATAAATCTAGTTAGTGTAGAGATTAATTTTTTTGGCTGTTTGTTATTTTAGGCATTTTAAAAAATAAATTCAGAAAAAATTAAATCACTTGAATTACATCTACTATAATGTGATTCGGTAATTAACCAATATTCACTCGTGTGCGCTTTATTATGGCTTCAATTTCCCACCATATTACCATATAAGGTAGCTGCAGCAAATTCGATCCCGATCTACATTTCTATCCTAATTGCTTTTAATTTGTAAGTAAATGAGGCATTCACAATCACATAAAATATTAGCAATAAAAATGAATTAAAAACTTTTGTTAGAGCTACAAATAAATAAAAAGCAAAAAATTACAAATACTTACAAAACTGGCATAATTCATGCACCGCATAAATTTCTTAGTCAACTATCTTCTTTACCTTTTTGTGATTCTTCCAATTGATGTTTTGCATTCTTTAGTTCTTTCTTTATTTTTTCAAGTTCTTCATCTTTCTCCTCTAGTTCTTTCTTTTTCTCTTCTAGTTCTTTCTCTTTCTCCTCTAGTTCTTTCTCTTTCTTTTTGAGCCTTTTTATTTCTTGTTTGGCTTCTTGCAACTGTTTTTTAGTTTCACTAAGTTCTGTGTTTAGTTCTTCTAATTCTTCCTTCTTCTCTTTCTTTATTTCTTTTATTTCATCACTCTTCTCTTTTTTTATTTCTTTCATTTCTTCCTTCTTCTCTTGTAATTCACATTTGAGCTCTTCTTTCTCTTTCTTATGCTCACTCTTAGCTGCAGATAGTTCGCTACGCTTTTCTTCTTTGTACTCTTTAAATTCATTTTTAACTTCTTGTAGCTCCTTTTCTTTTTCCTCTTTAGTTTCCATCAACTCTTTCTTAGCTTCTTGCAGTTTAGCTTTAGCTTCTTGGAATTTTTCATTCTTTTCTTCTAATTTTTCTTCGATTTCCTTAATTTTTTGATCACTCTTGGCCTTCATTCGTTCAACTGTTTTCTTAATGTCCGATTCATATGCCCTTTTTGCCGCTTCGAGTTCTTTCCTAATTCTTAGTATATGATCATCTTTACTTTTAACTAGAGTTGCTTTCTCATTTTTAATAAGCTCCAGCTCTTCCTCAATCTGTCTGCAATCATTTTCGAGTTTCTTTATTTGGCGATTTTTGTCACGAATTTCCTCGGCATGGCTATAACTGCTCTCAGTTGAATCTGGCTCTGTCTTTTCTAGCTGTATCTGACAAGTTGGGTTTACAGATTTACTGTTTGTTAGCACAATTACATGTGATTGATCTTCTTCCGTGCTTTGAGTGGGCTGCTTGTGATTAGGCTCATCACCTCTATCTGATGGTGCATTAGTATTAGTAGCCTCTCCATTACTGCTAACTGTACCAGGAACCATTACATGTAAATTAGAAGTTGCATTTTCTGTATTATTAACAGGCTCATGTATAGTGTAATCATTGGGAGCTTCAGGGCTAGAAATAGCATCATATTGCTGTGAAGATGGTGGCTGACCAGGTGACGAAGCAGGAAAGGAAATGACTCCAGAATCAGCAACAGCTGTTTCAGCAGTTACTTCCTTTTCACAAGTTGTCAAAGACGATGGACGAATCAAATTAGATCCTTTAATATCTGAAGAGTGTGTACCGGTATTTGAACTTGAAGCACCAGGAGACTCTTCTGTCACTGACGTTAGTTTTGAAATGGGTTGTTTCTTCCTGTGATCAAGATGATCATCCGAACGAGAGCGTTCGATTTTTTCATGTAAATGATTAATATCTTCTTGTGGAATAGCACTTTCAGAGTTTGAGCGTTTACCCTGTGGTGGTATGGAAGGATGCAGTTCACTGTTGTCGGATAAAAAGGCAATCCCAGTAGCTTCTTTTACTTCCTTTCTTAGTTCACAACATAAGACCTTGGCAGCTTCAATTGCAGGACCCTCTAGTTCTTCTAATATCTCCAGCAACATTTTGCAATGACTTTCTAAGCTTTCCATGTCTTGTTTTAAAGGAATAACAGCTCTGTAGTCGTGCATGATGGCCTCAAACTGACCGCTTTGATCTATCCTGGTGACATCGACTGTGATTAGTCTTTTGCTTCTCATCAGACGAGTAAATGTCGGCAACGAGTTAACACCAACTATTTCTGATAAAGTGTGATTCTGTCTCTCCAGTATATCTCTGATGATCTTTCTCACTCGAGAGCAACAATCTTGTGAAGCTTGTAAGCTAGCCATTTACAACAATGGGTAGTGGGAGTAGCTAGAAAGAACCACGCCTTGATTTATTTCTTGGTATAATAAATGCTTTATGGTGACCTTGCTTTAAAATTTTAAATGTTTTAAAATTGATTCATTAAAACTCTACTAAATAATATCATGCTCAAAATAAAACTGTAACATCTAGATTAGTTATACATTGACTCGGCGGCTGAGTCCTGTCGCCTGAAACTAGTACGAGTTGAAGTTTTACCAACTTCTTCCTCGGCAGATTCCTCAAGATCACTCATCCTTAGCAAACGATCTTTAGAGCTCCTATAACAATAATAATAACAATAATTCATTCATCATTGTATAGTAATAAAATAATTAGACTCAGTCTCTGATTAGACCTACATGCCTCACAACAGGATTTAGTACATTTTATAATGAGTAACTTAGTTTATGACTTGGATTATCACAATACATTAATCATTATTACCTCAGTGCTGCACGTGCAGCTGCTCTGAATATAGCACTCTTTATTTGCCCTCCACTCATATCAAAGCCAGCCAACTTATTAAAGTCAATCCCCTCTTCCATTGGGGTTTCCTCAGGAATCAGTAACTAAAGTGTTGTTAAAATAACACAATAATAATACTAGAATTCTTTTCTTACTTTCCATAGCTGTAGCCTCAGCTTAACCGATGGACAGTCAAAATGGAGCACAAATTTGAGTCGCCTGAAGAAAGCCTTGTCCATATTGTCCATGAGGTTAGTTGTTAGTATAATAATACCAGGAAACCTCTCAATGTGGTACAATAGAACACCAACATCAACATTAGCATAACGATCAGTTGAAGTACTACAAAGTAAAGACACTTTTATAATTAAAAATTTTATTGCTATGCCAAATTTTATTTGACTTGCACCAAGTGTACATAATTTACAATAAATTATATCAAATTATACCTCATGTCTGTTCTCTGTCCAAACAATCCTTCACACTCATCAAAGACAAGTATGGCATCAGTTGAGCGAGCTTCTTCAAATATTGCATCAATATTCTTAGTGCTCTCTCCCACCCATTTACTGAGGAGCTCACCGCAATTAACAACCTACAAGTGTACTGTGTAATATTAGTTTCATTTGAATGACTGGTACTTTAAGAGGCTTCCCAACTTCATAGCCTACGGCTTCAGCAGCAAGTGATTTACCAGTTCCAGGAGCTCCATGGAAGAGGACAGTTAGACCTTGCTCTTCTGTCTTTCCAAAGCCCCACTGACCAAACAGCACTGACCTGTAGCAATAGTAAAATTCATCAAACATTTTTTGTTGATTATAATCATAAATGTAGTCGTGGAAACCATCAATTGTTAAAAAACAGATAAGCAATAAGGGATTCTGTGAGATACGCACAAGTCCTTGATAACAATTTTCATTAATATTTTTATGAGTAGAAAGTTTGATAACCATTTTTTTGAATTATGAGCATTTGACAAAGCATTCATAGTTGGTACCTTGCTTTTTCAAACTGAACGATCTCTTTCAGGTTCTTCATAAGCTGCTCCGATACAATAACTTTATCAAGTCCTTTATTAGGAACCACTCGACGATGAAAGTCCTTCATTCTGAGTCTCCCTCTAAGTTGCAAGTTGGCTCCTTGTAGCAGATCCTTCTGACTGATAACAGGAGACTCCCCATCACGAGATACAGCAATAGAGAGGGCAGAAAGTATAGCATTCTTAATGAAACCACCAGTTAACTCAAACCGCAGGGACAACTCACCCTAAAACACAAATACACAAATATCTCATTTGCATCATCATTAAATGTACTTACAAGGTCAACATCATCGGCTAGCTTCATTGTACTGGGTATGTGTGACTCCCAAATTGCTTTACGCAGTAGATGGTCGGGTTGTCTGAACTCTATTGCTATCATTATGCGCCTGTGCATTGCCTCATCAAGATCATAAGGACGATTAGTGGCCATTATAATTAGCCCGTCATGCCTGATAAAAAATATTACAATCATTTGAAATATTGTATTAATAATTAAGTCAATAGGTCAATAAATTTGTAAAGTATTTTTTGAGCCTTGTTAACACCTAAAGGTGTTAACATTCCTGCTTACACCTCAAGGTGTAAACAAAGTGTTAGAAAGTTTTACAAGCACAGGAAGTAGTAGTAATATTCACCTCTCAATTTCTGTTAGGAGCATATTAACATCGTGACTGCCTTTCTCTCTTGTCTCAAATATTGCTTCACACTCATCAAAGAATAATATGGCATCATTGATCTTAGCCTCTCGGAAGATAAACTTGAAGTTTTCTCCGGCAGCCATACTGCCAAGAGAAGGGAAATTGATCAGTAAAACCTGCAATAAAACACATGATAAATATATAATTCTGATTATTTAAATTAAAAATAAATTAATGCTAAACTATATAATTCACTTTATTACAATAGGTGCCTAATACAAAAGGTTTTCATGATCATTACATACACTTTACCTTCTTTCCCAGTTTATTGGCGAGAGCATTAGCCATCATTGTCTTGCCAGTACCTGGTGCTCCATGAAACAGTATTACCATGCCAGCTCCATAAGTAATGGCGTCATCCATACCCAGCTTCTTCCGACACCTCTTGTATGCCTCAAAATTACTGACAGTATTAAGAATTAATGACTTCTGCTCTTTACTTAGCACAACCTATGCAGAAACAAAATCAAAATATCACAATACAATATGTACTATGGTAAAACCTTTTTCTCATACCAAATTTTGCCAAAAATGGCTAGGTGAGATTTTTCCATTTTTATAATTTTTCCTGATACATATACATGTTCTTATGTTGTGTAGAAAGTTTGAGCTCATTTTGATCAAAAATGGATTTTTTATGAATTTTTAAAGTTGCTCCAAAATCAGGCCAAAGACCCTGTACTATAGTACAGGGATTTCGGTCAAATTTTGCCAAAAATGGCTAGGTGAGATTTCTTCATTTTTATAATTTTTCCTGATACATATACATGTTTTTATGTTGCATAAAAAGTTTGAACTCATTCCGATCAAAATTGAATTTTTTACGAATTTTTGAAGTTGCTTAAAACTAGGCCAAAGTCCATGTACTACACAGTACAGGGCCATGTGGTAGCCATACCTGATCAAAAAGTGTCTTTGGATAGTACAAATGAGATCCTTCAACAATCTCAGAGAACTCAGTGTCTAATCCAACACAAAAGTCTAACATACGGCGATCAATCTCAACCTAATGAGGAATAATTTTAAGATAAAATTAAATAACAAATTTTGCACATACATGTAGTCATGTACAAGCCCTGTTTCATACTATTCAATACTTGCTCCTGCTCACCTTGGCTGATGTTGGGTCGCCATTAAGCCCAGAGTTATGGACTATGATCATCCCCTCCCTCACTAGTGTGGCCATCTTATAAAAGTAGACCCTGTGCTTGATTTGTTCTTGAAGAGAGGGGCAGAAGAGACGAAGGAGCTCACCAACAGTAAACACACTCTGACCAGAAAACATTCCTTCATAAGGCATTATCTAATAAAAAATAGGAGAAGGTAGAGAGAGAAAAATAACTTATAGCTTGAAACAAGAATCAGATTATTGCATTATGAAGTGAATCAATGCAATGCCAGAGATAATTTTTCTTATTATCATAATAGAGGTCAAATCTTATCAATCTCTTTACACTCATAATAGCTGTTAATGCTCTAGTACTACCTTATTAGGTTGTATGACATATCCAATGAGAGTCAGTAGTACATTCTTTTCAAAAGGAGCTATCCCCCTCAGAGTTGCCATCCTCTCAAGACGTGGCACTGTACCACCTGACTGCTTTGTTAGCTATTAAAAATTAATATTAAGTCATGTAACAATAATAATAATAATAATAATATTCCTCTTACTTGTAAACGTTTTTCACATTTCTTTTCAAGGAATTTAGCTTTGCTCTCAGCCTCTCTCTAGAGTTAAAAAAAACAATATGCAACTGCATGTAAGTGATTTGTGTACTTTCTGTCTCATGGATCTTGCATCACGGAGCTCATCATCTAGTTGTGCCTGTATAACAAAACAATGTAACAGGAATGGTTATCATTATTACCAGTATATGCAATCAGGAGCCCTGAGTCAATATACATGTACTATACCAAAATAACTATCTTACCTCCATTTCCATTCTTTTTTCCATTGAATTTACTTTTAACTTTTGATAAATCAACTGAAAAAAAATACAAGAAATCCATCTTTGCTGAAAACAATACATCTCTTCACTTACTTGAAAATGATCGTCCAAATATTCCAAGTCATTCTTGTAAGGAGAGAGTTTGTCAGAGTCTGTTTCTGGCTCAGTCACTTCTGGTGGCTCGGGAATATCTTTAAGTTCCTCCTTCTCACGTTTTCGTTCAGTCCTCAACAGTTCATCCAAATCCATTACTTGCTCTTCCTCTTCTTCCTCTTCTTTCTCTTCCTTTTCCATTGCCTCATCTTCTGTTTGGTCCTATGATTAAATTTCCCAGCGTAGTAATACTCCATGCTTTTTTCAAAAAATTGGTATGTTTTGTCAAATGCCCAAAATGAAAATTCACATAAATAAACATTGAAAGTATATATTTAAAATAGATGGCCTCTTTTGAAAAACTATGAAGTGTCTATGCCAAAATTTGGATGCTTTTAAAATGTTCATAACTCAAAAACTTGCAATGAGAATCTGTTTGAACTTTTGAGATATAAAAAGAAACAGAGAGAGCACAGCCTACCTTTTCTAAGCCACTGCCACCTGGTCCTAAACCAACAGACTGAAGAGTATCAAACTGACTGCGGAGACCCTCGTTCCCCTCTTCTTCGAGAATCACCTCAGACAAACAGGTCTGCTCCAGTTTCAACATGTCACTGGACTTGAGAGGAGCTCCTATTAGTGCCCTCAGCGAGACCTCATCAAGACCGAGATTGCACTGAAGGATGTAGGACTGCTGGACATCGGGGAAGAGACCTTGCTGCATGTGAGGTCTCTCTGAGTCAAGGAATGCAAGCATCTCTGATAGCATCATGTCACAGTTACGACAGAGATTAAGTACTGATGTATTGAAATGTGCCATGCTAGCACCAAATGGTCCACGTAATACATGATGATCTCCCTTACTAGCCTATAACAAAAAAACAAATAATATCAGTCCTAAACTATGTACACAAAACAATATGACGGAAGACAGAAAGTAAAACTAGGCAAATACTCACTAGTGACACTAGAGTAGGTGAGTATAAATACACAAAAGGAAAATGAAAACCAATAATAATAATGATTAACTGATTAGCTTGCATGATTTTAGAGTAGACATGTCAAAGTGTTGTATCAACCCTACTCTTGTAAATAGATGGTGTAAAGTTCTTACTTGAGCAACTAGTACATATGTAAGGATGCTAGTTTCTTTCTCATTTAGTTTCAGACGACGTGATAGTCGAATGACACGAGGCAGCCCAACCTCTCCATTAGTCTTCTCAGTGGCTGCTAATCTCTTGTCTATTATCTTTTTAAAACGCTCGACTACTGCATCACACGCCTTCAGGACGGTTTTGTAGTTTTCGTGATCCAACTAGATGCAAAAATAATACAACTACAATAATTCAGAGTCTCAAAAAATTTATGAACAGCTAAAATAGTTAAATATATTATTATAATAGATATCTACATAGATCTACCTGCTTTCCTTCAGTGTGTGGCTGCAGTACTTTGCTCTTGAGGTTCGACCTTGCCGACTGACGAGAGAGCCTAGCGGTATGGTAAGCATCACAAAGGTCTATGAAATTTTCATTTAAATCTTTGCCTTCAAGTGGTGAGCTACAAAAAAACAAAGTAAGATTTAGATTATTAAAAGTCTAGCCTACTTAGGGTCATCGGAGAGAACCTTCAGTTGCAAGGTAGTCAATATTGAAAGGATCTGAGGGTGTATCTTCTCGACTTCTAGCAAGAAGGCCTGAGGGCTAAGAAAGTCTTGCTCTTCTCCGGCCATTGCACAAGCTACAAGACACGCCTAAGGCTAAATTAACCTAAAGGGCGTGCATCACACACCTAGATCGACAGACCATCACCCATGTGATATGTTATGGCGTCTTGCCCTCCAACTAAGAAGGCTAGAAAGGCTGGGAAGGAGGGGGAAGAGGGACCAAAAGTAGAGGAAGAAGATGAAGACGAAGTCCCTGAAGAGATAGAGGACCAGTGCTCTGACTGTCACCAGTCATTAGCTAAACTTGAGAAACTTCTGAAACCAGTTCTGGCAGAGGCAAGGCCAAGTCATGACAAAGTATGAGTATAGTTTATTAAAAGCATTTTCCTCATTTATTTTTAGCTATCACATCTTGAAAATGCATCGCTGACGCTGACTCTGTGCTATACAATCAATTCTTTGTTTTGGGGTATGTGTAGATATAAGATGAAAAATGTGTTGCATGCATAGTCTAATGCCTCCTTATCTTTTGGTAATTTAGGCAAAATCATGTTGTATGACACAGGATTTCAAATTTGTCTGTATGTGCATGTATTAGGCTATTAGCACGTTACAATTCTCTCTACTATGCATTTTACTATTTATACCATGGATCTTATAAAGTTCATTCTGATCTTGTTTTTTGTAGTGTATCTAACTACCCAAGGAATCAATCCTAAGACTCATGGCATCAAGCATGAATTAGTAAGTGAATATTTTTTTATAATGTTGTACTTTTTGAAGTGAGCCTCACTATCAGTAAAAAGTGATTTTCTAATTTCAAAATTGATCAGATGCTAAAGGAATTAATATTTGAAAATAAAGGATGGAAGAATGATAAAATCAAGTGATTTATGAATTGATTCTAATCCTATCAATTTTATCATTGTTAATTGTTCTCTTGGATTTCATGCAGTAGCTAGATGCCAGGAGAATTCACTCGTGTACATGTAAATCAGAATTTGACATATTTTTTAAATGGCTATAACTTGATAAATTGAAGTCGGAATCAGCTCAAACTTTCTACATAGCATAAAGACATCAACATGCATCAGAAAATGTAATAAAAATTGGGGGTGATTTTGGAGCCATTTTTTGGAAAAACCTGGGCTATAGCCTTGGGTATTTTTCAGGAAATGGAATATTTTTAAAAATGGCCATAACTCGAAAAATTGAAGTCGGAATCGGCTCAAACTTTTTACATAGCATAAGGACATCAATATGTATCAGAAAATGTAATAAAAATTGGGGGTGATTTTGGAGCCATTTTTTGGAAAAAAAAACCATGGGCTATGAATTTCATTCGCTGCCAATATTCATTCACTATCCTTTGGTCTGCAATTTGCTGTATAAGGGGTACCCGGCATCGTGGCAAAGTAGTTGACTATTCAGATTTTGACAGAGCGGCCTCTGATGCCCACATTGGTATTTCTTAGATTTATTCATTTTTTTTAATTTTTATTCTATTATTATTATTATCATTGTCATTATTATTATCAATATTATTATTATTATTATTATTATTATTTTTCCTTATCACTTTGTGTATCTTTCTTTACCTTAACCAATCTTTAACCTGTTCTTTGTTTTCTTCCTTATATTCCTTTCCTTAACCTACATGTTTATTTCTATCCTTTTTCATAATAAATTTTTTGAGGGCTCTGTTCCCTTTTCAACTGGGCTATAGCCTTGGGTATTTTTCAGAAATTGGCATATTTAAAAAAATGACCATAACTTGAAAAATTGAAGTCGGAATCTGCTCAAACTTTTTATATAGCATAAAGGCGGATTTACAATATGACATTAGGCCAGCGTACCGTCAATTTTTAATCAAAAGTGTAGGCGATTTGACCTTTTGATGCATACTTTCCGCTGGAATAGAACCAGATTCTATTCCAGCGTCAACGTAACGTCAGGACTAGCGTAATATTGTAAATCCGCCTTAAGGGCATCAATATGTATTAGAAAATGTAATAAAAATTTGGGGTGATTTTGGAGCCATTTTTTTGGAAAAAACCATGGGCTATAGCCTTGGGTATTTTTCAGAAAATGGCATATTTAAAAAAATGGCCATAACTCAAAAAATTAAAATCGGAATCGACTCAAACTTTCTACATAGCATAAGGACATCAATATGTATCAAAAAATGTAGTAAAAATTGGGGGTGATTTTGGAGCCATTTTTGGAAAAAACCATGGGCTATAGCCTTGGGTATTTTCAAAAAGTTGCATATTTTTTTAAATGGCTGTAACTCGAAAAATTGAAGTCGGAATCGGCTTAAACATTCTACATAGCATAAGGACATAAATTCAATATGTATCAGAAAATTTAATAGAAATTAGGGTTAGAGTCATTTTTGGAATAAAGGATATATGCTTGTACTAATAGGGTATTCAGTCACCTAGTTATCCTTTATTTAGGAAAGAGTCCAAAAATACATGAATCAGGCAAACATCATCAATGAAAGACTAAAAGGAGGTAAAACTTAATAATTTTGAAGAGGTTATACAAATTTTTATAAGAAAAAGATAGTATTTGCTTTAAAATTTCTTCAAGTATAATTTTGATGATATTTAATTTAGAAGTACCAAGAGTGGATGAAGGAGCTGCCAAAAGATTTGTAAAAAATGCTCTTTGGGATGAAGAAAGTATATAAGTCCTATGCTGAAATGCATTTAATTTTTATATTTATTTCAGGTAGTAGTAGTAAATCTAGAAAGAGAAAGCAAACTGAAGATAAAAATCAATAATTGTGAGGATGTTGCATGTTTTTATAAAAGCAACTAATTAAACTTTATTTGACTTCTTAAAATAAGCAACTAATTTAACTTTATTTGACTTCCTAAAATAATAGATCTATACATTTTATAATTTTGTGCAAAAAAATTATTGTATAATGAATATTTAAAAGTGTTGATCATAAAATGACATATTTACATGCATGCCCTAAAAATGACAAGACTATATAAACTACATGTATGTATACTACCGGTAATTTACTAATAACACAATTAATGTATTTATAATGTATTTTAGTGATAATCACTGTCATCGATAATGGAATCAAAGATTAGCGGCTCTCTCCTTGCAATAATGTGTGGTGGTGAATATGTTCTTTCATCTTCTTTGCTTTTAATTTGCATCAGTTTAAACTGCTCTGTTATATTTGATTTCTTTAAAAACTTCCTACTAAAGAATGAATGACATTTCTTTATATATACATGAACAATGACTGTGATAATGAAAGCCATGAGGCACAAACTCACTGACACTGCAGTGATATTGAGTGTTACCTCTTCGTCCAATCCCATGTTACTAGATAGTATATTAAGAAATGCGACTAGTCCCAGGTTAAGAAAATAAATGATTCCAGTGCATTTAGAATATTGTAGCGATAGATATCTCTTGATAAATACAGTGCAATAGCAGAAATAAAGGCAATGATGTAATTGTTAACTTGAGGTATGCTGTTAG